AAACATACACTATAAAATGCTGAATGTAATATGTGTTACATATACTTTACTAAATCAAAGTTGAATATATATTTCAACCATATATAAGAAAATGCTTTTTCTACAATGTCGGATGTACTATAAAAAGCTGAATATAAACTTTACTAAAGTTGAATGTGTGTATATATAAAAATGTCTTTAAAAATAATTTTCCAGGACTCAGATACATTGTAAAAAGTGGAGTATAAACTTACAACATATGAAGGCAGGTGCAGTGGCTCATGCCTGTAATCCCAGCACTTTGGGAGGTTGAGGTGGGCAGATGACTTGAGGCCAGGAGTTCAAGACCTGCCTGGGCAACATGGTGAAACCCTGTCTCTACCAAAATTGGAAATAAATTAGCTGGGCATGGTGGTAGGTGCCTGTAGTCTCAGCTACTCGGGAGGCTGAGGCACAAGAATTGCTTGAACCTGGGAAGTGGAGGTTGCAGTGAGCTGAGATTGTGCCACTGCACTCCAGTCTGGGCAACAGGGCAAGACTCCATCTGAAAAAATAAATAAATAAAATAAATAAATAAATAAATAAATAAATAAATAAATAAATAAAAATAAACTTACAACAACTCATGCACCAAGTCCAGGGAAAGGGCAGTTCTTAATTCTTTCATCATATCAACAATGTTGGCTGGGAGTGGTGGCTCATGGCTGTAATCCCAGCACTTTGGGAGGCTGAGGCGGGAAGATCATGAGGTTAGAAGTTAGAGATCAGCCTGGCCAACATAGTGAAACCTCGTCTCTACTAAAAATATAAAAATTAGCCGGGCATGGTGGCGTGTGCCTGTAGTCCCAGTTACTCGGGAGGCTGAGGCAGGAGAATCGCTTGAACCCGGGAGGCAGAGGTTGCAGTGAGCCGAGATCACGTCACTGCAATACAGCCTGGGTGACAGAGTGAGACTCCGTCTAAAAAAGAAAAACACAAAACAAAACAAAACAAAAAAACAATGTCAAGAACACACATTATTCCAACCTATTCCGTGCCAATCTCAGACTCTTGATTCTCTGCTTGCAAAATGCCCACAATTCCAGGTGTCACGGTGACATACAGACATGTATCTTGTATTTAAGCAGACCATTTTCTCCCATTTTCTTAGGAAACAAAATTTAACTGAAACCCATTTGCAGACTTTTGCACAGATCTTCTGTATCCAGGGCTATAATAGGTGTGACCAGATGCAAGGCAAGCTAGGAGATCAAATATCTGGCATTTACAGACTCAGGAGAGCAGCAGGCAATCCTGCCAAAAGGAGAATGGTTAACACCAATGAATATGCAACTAACTATGCTTGAGTTTCTTTTTTTTTTTTTTTTTTTTTTTGAGACGGAGTCTTGCTCTGTCGCCCAGGCTGGAGCGCAGTGGCGCGATCTTGGCTCACTGCAAGCTCCGCCCCCCGGGTTCACGCCATTCTCCTGGCTCAGCCTCCCGTGTAGCTGGGACTACAGGCTCCCGCCACCACGCCTGGCTAATTCTTTTTTTGTATTTTTAGTAGAGACAGGGTTTCACCGTGTTAGCCAGGATGGTCTCGATCTCCTGACCTCGTGATCCGCCCGTCTCGGCCTCCCAAAGTGCTGGGATTACACGCGTGAGCCACTGTGCCCGACCTAGTTTCTTCTTTATAGGGTGCAATGCTTTTCATTTCAAAGTCTTGTGTTTTGTTTTTGCCTTCCATTGATTTTTCTAGAGCTTTTCTACATCCAAGGGTTGAATGTTTATTCATTCACTCTCATTCCTTGGATCATTCACACATTCCTATGATCAAATATTTACTGAGAACCTGCTAGGAACAGGGAGCACACAGGGTAAAGTCGGAATGAATCCTGGTCCTTAACTGGCCGTTTTCTATACATATTAATTTTCTTGAGAGTATAGCTTTGTTCACACCCTATACATTTCCATACGTATTCCCTTTGTCATTCATTCCTAATAAGGCCTGCCTTGACATCTTTTTTTTTTTTTTTTTTTTGAGATAGAGTCTCGCTGTTGCCCAGGCTGGAGTGCAGTGGTGTGATCTCGGCTCACTGCAACCTCTGCCTCCCCTGTTCAGGTGATTATCCTGCCTCAGCCTCCGGAGTAGCTGGGATTACAGGGGCCTGCCACCACGCCTGGCTAATTTTTGTATTTCTAGTAGACACGAGGTTTCACCATGTTAGCCAGGATGGTCTCCATCTCCTGACCTCATGATCCGCCCGCCTCAGCCTCGCAAAAGTGCTGGGATTACAGGCGTGAGCCACCTCGCCTGGCCAAGACGGAGTCTGGGCCAGGATGGAGTGCAGTGGTGCGATCTCGGCTCACTGCAACCTCCCGCTTCGGGTTCAAGCGATTCTCCTGCCTCAGCCTCCTGAGTAGCTGGGACTACAGGTGTGAACCACCACGCCCAGCTAATTTTTGTATTTTTAGTAAAGACGAGGTTTCACCATGTTGGCAAGGATGGTCTTATGTCCTGACCTCGTGATCCACCCTCCTTGGCCTCCCAAAGTGTTGGGATTACAGGTGTGAGCCACTCCACCAGGCTGACATCCTTTTTAATATAAAAATTATTTATACAGGTAGTTTTCAAATTTTCTAGTGGAGAAATGAATTTTGATTAAGGCTGTATTATTTTTTAATTCTGCAACCTCTGCCTCTCGGGTTCAAGCGATTCTCCTGCCTCAGCCTCCCAAGTAGCTGGGACAACCGGTGCACGCCACCATGCCCGGCTTAGTTTTTGTATTTTTAGTAGAGATTGGGTTTCACCACATTGGCCAGGCTGGTCTCGAACTCCTGACCTTAAGTGATCTGCCTCCCCTTGGCCTCCTAAAGTGCTGGAATTACAGGCGTGAGCCACCGTGCCCAGCCTTTTTAAAAGTTTTAATAAATCATCTAAATATTCCACCTGACTTCACAGCAACTCACTTTTATTCTACTGGGTTTCTTTACATTACGAATCCCCTAGTAAGGCAAAAGGGTGAGCTATAAATAAAGGCTTCACAGTATTAAATTTTTCTCCAGAAGGAATTACCTAGCCTTCAATAAAGAAAAAGAGATGATGCAAGATGTTCCTATAGTCACTGCATATATAAGTCCTACTTCTCATGTCTAATAATGCACGATTAAGAAAATAACAAAAACAATAAATGCCTTCATTTAGCACACTTTCAATACTAGACAGACACTGCTTTAAATAATATAAATGTATTTAACCGTCACAATGCAGCTAAGAAATATGGTGCTAACAGTACTAATTTATAAATGAGAATATGTAGATGCAGTTAATAAATTCACCCTAAAAGAAATGTTATAATGATGAGGGTGAGTAAAAAGTAAACATTGGTTAAATCCTTTCCCACATTGATTCAGCTCCAGTTAATTTTAGTGAATTAGCTTGCAAATATTTAACAAGATTTATGTGGGATGAAAGAATCTGCTGAATTTTAAATCCTACTATAGGCTTCCTCAAGTACTGTCAGATGAATACTTTGTTAGCTAAAGCAAATTGGTGTCCCATATATATGGCCTTTACATTTTGGGTTTTTTTTTTTTGGCGCAATCTCAGCTCACTGCAACCTCCGCCTCCCGGGTTCAAGAGATTCTCATGTCTCAGCCCCCCAAGTAGCTGGGATTACAGGCATGTGCCCCCATGCCCAGCTAATTTTGTATTTTTAGTAGAGATGGGGTTTCACCATGTTGATCAAGCTGGTCTCGAACTCCTGGCCTCAAGTGATCAACCCACCTCAGCTTCCCAAAGTGCTGGGATTACAGGCATGAGCCACCATGCCCGGCCCCATCTTTTTTTTTTTTTTTTTGAGACAAGAGTCTCGCTCTGTCACCCAGGCTGCTGTGCAATGGCATGATCTTGGCTCACTGCAACCTCTGTCTCCTGGGCTTAAGCAATCCTCCTGCCTCAGCCTCTTAAGTAGCTGGAATTACAGGCGTGCACCACCACGCCTGGCTAATTTATATTTTTTGTAGAGAAGGTTTTTCACCATGTTGCCCGTGTTGGTCTCAAACTCCAGGACTCAAGCAATCCACTCACCTTGGCTTCCCAAAGTTCTGGGATTACAGGTGTGAGCCACTGTGCCCAGCCTGCATAAATATATATATATATATACACACACACACACACACACACACACACGTATATATTTTTACTTATTTTTCGAGACGGAGTGTTGCTCTGTCACCAGGCTGGAATGCAGTGGCACGATCTCAGCTCACAGCAACCTCTGCCTCCCGGGTTCAAGTGATTCCCACCTCAGCCTCCCGAGTAGCTGGGATTACAGGCACGCACCACCACGCCTGGCTAATTTTTTGCATTTTAGTAGAGACGGGGCTTCACCACGTTGGCCAGGATGGTCTCGATCTCCTGACCTTGTGATCCACCCACCTCAGCCTCCCAAAGTTCTGGGATTACAGGCGGGAGCCACCCGCGCACGGCCTGCATTTATAATTTGAATCATCTCATTTCCCCTAAGGGCTAATGACTGCTGCTGAGAAAGGTCTGAATGATTAACTTCTCTCAGCACATCCACTGCCCTCCTCTCCCCGTTATGAATTCCCTGAGGTTGACTTGGTTCTGAGCCACCAAAAAGGTCTCCCTACTTTTTTTTTTTTTTTTTGAGACGGAGTCTCGCTCTGTCCCCCAGGCTGGAGTGCAGTGGCCGGATCTCAGCTCACTGCAAGCTCCGCCTCCCGGTTTCACGCCACTCTCCTGCCTCAGCCTCCCGAGTAGCTGGGACTACAGGCGCCCGCCACCTCGCCCGGCTAGTTTTTTGTATTTTTTAGTAGAGACGGGGTTTCACCGTGTTACCCAGGATGGTCTGGATCTCCTGACCTCGTGATTCGCCCGTCTCGGCCTCCCAAAGTGCCTACTTTCTTTACATTCATGGAATTCTTCAATTTTTCACCAGTTGTATCATGATGTGTAACAAATTCTGAAACACAAATAAATCTCCGCTAATTCCTAACATTTATAAGGTGTCTCACACTTAGAATTATGGGTTTTTATTTTTCCAAATCAGTATGAATTTTCTCATGTTAATCAAATTCTGAGCCATCCCTCATTTCTTCATTCACTCCTGGTTCCTGAATGAATTCTTTGATGTTGACTAAGGTGTGAGGCCCGAATAAAGGCCTTTGCACACTGCTGACATTCATATAGTTTCTCACCAGTATGAATTTTCTGGTGTCGACTAAGTTCTGAACCACGACCAAAGGCCTTCCCACACTCCTTACACTCATAGGGTTTCTCACCAGTGTGACTTCTGTCATGATGAGTGAGTTCTGACCTTCGAATAAAAGCCTTCCCACATTCCTTACACTTATGGGGTCTCTCCCCAGTGTGAACTTTTTGATGTCGAACAAGTTCTGTGCTACAAGTAAAGGCCTTTCCACATTCCTTACACTCATAGGGTTTCTCACCAGTGTGAGCTCTCTGATGTCGGGTAAGTTCTGAGCCATGACGGAAGGACTTCCCACATTCCTTACACTTATAGGGTTTCTCCCCAGTATGGACACTCCGATGTCGAATAAGATGTGAATCAGAGATAAAGGCTTTCCCACATTCCTTACATTCATGGGGTTTCTCACCAGTATGAATTATTTGATGTAGACTCAGCTGTGAGGCACAACTGTACACCTTCCCACACTCCTTGCATTCATAGCGTCTTTCACCAGTATGGATTATCTGATGAAGGCTCAGTTGTGTGTCATAACGAAAAGCCTTCCCACATTCCTTACATTTATGGGGTTTCTCACCAGTATGGATTCTTCGATGTCGAAAAAGGTGTGAGGGACGGGTAAAGGCCTTCCCACACTCCTTACATTCATAGTATTTCTCATCAGTATGGATCCTCTGATGTAGATTAAGCTGTGTGGTGGATGGAAAGGCTTTCCCACACTCCCTACACTTATAGGGTTTCTCGCCAAGATGCATCCTCTGATGCTGACTAAGTTGTGAGCTGGAATGAAAGGCTTTCCCACATTCCTTACATTTATGAGGTTTCTCTCCAGTATTAACGCTCCGAGGTTGAGTAATTCCAGAATCACGATTAAAAGCACATTTGTTATTTTCACTATGGTTTTTGCTTTCATTAAGCCTCTGATGCTTAATCAAGTCTGATCCACCATTAAAGATTTTCCTATGTTCTCCACATTTAGGGTCTTTTTTCTTATTATGAATTATTTCATGTTGAATAGGACATGACTGGCACCTGAAAGCATTCTTACATTTCCTGTATTCATAGGATTTCTCTTCAGTATGAATCCATTGATGTTCTCTATGGGCTGTGCACTGCACGGAAGTAAATGGTATTACAGCTTGTCTGAAATGTCCCTCCTGGAGACCCTGTTGTTTCTCCACCTGGCATCTGATTTCTCTGATAGCTCTGACCCTCTCCTGTTGCAGTGATCTAATTTCATAAATGTTTTCCTTTGGAGAGAAATTCTTGGTTTCTCTTCCAAACTCCCAATCTGTAAAATAACAAGAAGAAAATGGGAGGTATTTTCACATTGCAGGACAAAGAAAAGTTCTGAAGTAGAAATGACAAACTAAAAATAGTTAATAATTCTTTACACGGCAATTTAAAAAAAAAAGGGAAGTGAAAAATGAGAAAATGAGGAGCTTTTGGGCTCAAGCAATCTGCCCACCTTAGCCTCCCAAAGTGTTGGGATTACAGGTGTGAGCCACTGCACCCAGCCACATCTCTGATACTTTTAAAGACCCTTGTGATTACACTGGGCCCACTTGGATAACCCAAGATCCTCTCCCTAACTGAAGTTGAGCAGATTTGCAACCTGAATTCCCCCTTACCATGTAAGAGTAACATGTTCACAAGTTTCAGAGATTCAGATATGGACATCTTTGAGGGGGTCATTATTCTGCCAATATTGGCTTATAATGTATAAATATGTAATTTGTATGACAATAATAGTACAAAGAAGGGAGGTGGGAACAGAAGTATTTTGGAGCAAAGTATTTATATAAGATTAAAGTTAAGTTAATATTAATCCAAACTAGATTGTTTTAAGTTGAAATGCTAATTGTAATCTTGAAGGCAACCACTAAGAAAATAATTTCAAAGACTATTGTATAAGAAACAGTATAGGAACAAAAATGGTACTCTAGAAAATATTTAGGTAATATAACAGAAGGTAGTAATGGAAGAATAGAGGAATAAAACAATAACAACACAAATAGAAAGCAAATACCACAATACCAATTGTAAATCCCACCCTATCAGTGTATTAAATGTGTAAATCCCACCCTATCAGTGTATTAAATGTAAACATATTAAACACTACAGACTTTGTTAAACACTACAAGAAGAGGTTGGCAGGATGGATTAAAAAAAAAAGTGATCCAAGTATATGCAATCTACCAGAGACACACTGTTTTTGTTTTTGTTTTTTGAGACACAGTCTCACTCTGTCACCCAGGCTGGAGTGCAATGACATGATCTCAGCTCATTGCAACCTCCACTCCCTGGGTTCAAGTGATTCTCATGCCTCAGCCTCCTGAGTAGCTGGGACTATAGGCATGGGCCACCATGCCTGGCTAATTTTTTGTATTTTTAGTAGATACAGGGTTTCACCATGTTGGCCAGACTGGTCTCAAACACCTGACCTCAACTGATCTGCCCACCTCTGCCTCCCAAAGTGCTGGGATTACAGGTATGAGTCACCATGCCCAGCCCCCAAGACAAACTTTAGATTCAAGGACACAAATAGTTGAAATGAAAGAATGGAAAACGATATACCATGCAAAGAGTAACCACAAATGAGCTAAAATAGCATTACTAATACCAGACAAAATAAACTTTAAGACAAAAATTGTAACCAGTGAGAAAAAAGGATATTTTGGCCGGGCACAGTGGGTCATGCTTGTAATCCCAGCACTTTGGGAGGCCGAGGCAGGCAGATCACAAGGTCAGGAGTTCAAGACCAGACTGGCCAACACAGTGAAACCCTGTCTCTACTGAAAATATAAAAATTAGCTGCGTATGTTGGCAGGCACCTGTAATCCCAGCTACTCGGGAGGCTGAGGCAGGATAATCACTTCAACCTGGGAGGTGGAAGTTGCAGTGGGCAGGGATTGTGCCACTGTACTCCAGCCTGGGCGACAATGCTAGACTCCATCTCAAACAACAACAACAACAAAAACAAATCAGAAAAAAGGGTATGTTATAATGATAAGAGGATATAATGATAGTCAGAAAACTGTAACAGTTGTAAGTATATATACACCTAATAACACAGGCCCAAAATACGTAAAGCAAGAATTAAAGACAGCAATAGACAATTGAACAAATTGAAGACTTCAATACTTTACTTTCAATAATGAATAGAATAGCTAGGCAGAAGATCAACAAGGAAACAGAAGGCTTGAAAAACACTATAAACCAATTAAACTTAAGAAGACATTTGTAGAATACTCCACTCAACAACAGGAGAATACACATTTTTCTCAAGCACGTATGGAACATTTTTCAGGTTAGACCATATATTAAGCCATAAAACAGCCCTCAATAAATGTAAGAGGACTGAAATCACACAAAATATGTTTTGCAACTACAATGGAATGAACTTAGATATCAACAGCAGAAGGAAATTTGGGAAATTCACATGTGAAAATTAAATAACATACTCCTAAATAACCAATGTGTTAAAGAAGAAATCACAAGAAAAATTAAAAAATATTTTGAGATAAATGAAAAGTCAATATACCAAAACTTATGAAATGCAGTAAAAGCAGGGCTTAAAGGGAAATTTACAGCTAAAAACACCTATATTAAAAACAAGAAGAAAAAAAAAAACAGAGATATCTCAAATCAACAATCTAACTGTGTATCTTAAGGAACCAGATAATAAAGAATAAACAAAAACATAAAGCTTCCAGAAGGAGGGAAATAATAAAAGATAACAGCAGCCATAAACAAAACAGAGAATAGAAAAACAACAGAGAAAATCAATGAGACCAAAAGCTGGTCCTTGGAAAAGATCAACAGAATTGGCAAATCTTTGGCTAGATTGACCAACAAAAAAAGAGAGAAGTCTCAAAATACTAACATCAGGAATGAAATAGGAGATATCACTACTGACCTTATAGAAATAAAAAGGGTTATAAGGAACTCCTACGAATAACTATATGCCAATAAATTAAACAACTTAGACAAAATGGACAAATTCCTAAAAAGACCCGAAACTACCAAAATTGACTCAAGAGGAAACAGAACACCTGAATAGACCCTATACCAAATTAAGAGACTGAATTAGAGTAAAAAAATCTTCCCACAAAGAAAAGCCCAGGAGCAAATGGCCTCACCCAACATTAAAGAAAACTTAATATAAATCCTTCATGAACACTTCAAAAAGACAGAAGACAAAGAAACATTTCCTAATTCTGAGGCCAGTATTACCCTGATATCAATCAGACAAAGCAAAGATATCACAAGAAAACTACAGACCAGTATCTTCAACAAAAAAGACCAAACCAGATCCAACAGCTTAGAGAAAGGATTATATACTACATCTAGGTAAAATTTATCCTACAAATGCAAGGTTGGTTCAACATCCAAAAGTTTATCAATGTAATCAAACATATTAATACAACAAAGGACATCAACTACAGATGTCTTAATAGATGCAGAAAAGGTAACGGAAAAAAGTATTCTAAAATCCTTTCATGACAAAAATACTCAACAAACTAAGAGAAGAAGGGAACCTATATAAAAATGTTCATAGCAGCTTTAGTCATACATAGTAGCCTAAAAGTAGAAACAACCCAAATGTCTACCAACTGATGAATGAACAAAATGGTAATATCTATACCATGGAATACAATTTGGCAATATAAAAGAATGAGACACTGGTATATGTTACACTATGGATGAACTTTGAAAATATTCTGGTAAGTGAAAAAAGCCAGTCATAAATTATATGTTGTGTGATATCATTAATATAAAATGTCCAGAACAGGCACATCTATAAAGACAGAAAGTGATCAGTAGTTGCTTGGGGTTGGGTTTGGGCAGTGACTGCTAACGGGTATGGCGTTTCATTCTGAGTGATGAAAATGTTCTACAATTAGACTGTTGTGATGGTTGCAAACTGACTAAAAATTACTGAACTTTAAATGGATGAATATTATGATATATGAATTTTATCTCAATAAAACTGTTTTTAAAAGTCAGGACAAAACTGGACCCAAAATGCAAGTAAAATGGTTGTCACAGGGGAAGAAAGAGGGCACTTCCTCTCTGAAATGAGGGGGAAGTATTATAGGAGGTGAGCAAGAAAGCCTGGTAAATGGAGCTGAAACATCCTTACTTTCTTTTTTTTTGAGATGGAGTCTCGCTTTGTCACCCAGGCTGGAGAGCAGTAGCGTGATCTCGGCTCACTGCAACCTCTGCCTCCTGGGTTCAAGCAATTCTCCTGCTTCAGCCTCCCAAATAGCTGGGACTACAGGCACCTGCCACCATGCCCAGTTAATTTTTGTATTTTTAGTAGAGACAGGGGTTCACCATATTGGCCAGGTTGGTCTTGAACTCCTGACTTCGTAATCTGCCCGCCTTGGCCTTTTTTTTTTTTTTTTTGAGATGGAGTCTTGCTGTCTTGCCCAGGCTGGAGTGCAGGGGTGCAATCTCGGCTCACTGCAACCTCTGCCTCCCAGGTTCAAGCAATTCTACTGCCTCAGCCTCCTGAGTAGCTGGGATTACAGGCATGTACCATCAGGCCCAGGTAATTTTTTTGTATTTTTAGTAGAGACAGGGTTTCACCATGTTGGTCAGGCTGGTCTCGAACTCCTGATCTCAAAAAAAGCCTTCAAATGCTGATAAATCCTTATTTCTTCATCTAGTTTTTTTTTTTTTTTTTTTTTTTAACAGATCTCGCTTCGCCACTGAGTCAATGCCCTCGCTCACTCAGCTCCCCCCGTCACCCATCTCCTGCCTCCCTCCAGAGCTGGACTACACGCCCCCCTCGCCCGGCTAATTTTTTCATTTTAGTAGAACGGTTCACCTGTTACCAGATCTCGATCTCCTACCGATCGCCGTCCCTCAAAGTGCTGGATTACACTACCACCGCCCCCGATCTCAAGCATTTTTAAGCAGCTTTCCCACCAAAATCTCCAAAGTGCTGCCTTCTCACAGATGAGCTAAGTGACCAACTGCTATGGCCTCCCCATTCCGGTTCATCATCACTCACCTGGACACCATTCTTTTGTCTCATTCCTCTTAACCAACCAGGGCTCTTTCTTCTGCTCCAATAAGGAGATCACATTTGGCTTAGTATCAGAAAGCCCTGCTCAAACACAAAGGGAACAAGGTTTTGTTGTGGGTGTCAGAATTAAAAATCAGTCCCTAATTATCAAGAAAGAGGAGCAGGTAGATTAAGGGTCAGAAGAAAGAGTAAGGGTCAGAGCACCAGGGAAGATAAAGGTGCCTACTGGAACAGCCTATTTCCAGCTTCACAAGAGACAAACCATTCTTTTGGTGAGCAAGAAACATTAACTCATCCAGGTACTTGAAAAGCACTTGTGACAAACTCAGAAAAAAGAACGTAAGAATTCCAGAAGGCCAATTCTGTGTTTGGCGGGGCGGGGAGTGTGCAGAGGGGCAGATAAAGTTACCTAGTAAGACCAGGTTGCCGTAATTTTCCAACATTACATCTCGGTACAAATCCTTCTGAGCAGAGTGCAAGCATTCCCACTCCTTTTGAGAGAAGTAAATGACCACATCTTTGAACTTCAAGTCCTGAAATCACAAATAAATATAACATTTGTGAAATTCATGGACAAAATCTTTAAGACAATATAAAAGAAAATGGAGAAAGCAATTCAGTAGGGAAGTTCCATTAGGAAAACAGGCCATACTGGCCCCATTCAACATGGATGGGTCAGTGTGGAAACAGGGGTGATCAGAGTCAAGTGCCCACATGGTTCTTGGGCATGCCTACTCCTGCAGAGGTAGCCTCTAGGCACTTCCATTATCCACCCACGTCGGAGAATAAACTAAGTCCATGTAAGTGGTTTTTCCCAATTAAATGAAACTGTGCTTGCAAATACACAGCACACCCTATGTTAAGCACGCAAGCTTCTCATTGCCTCTTCCTCTTTCCCATTCAATAAATTAAACCCTAAATCAGTTTTCTACATCACCATTCTTAAATAGACAGCAATTTTACTGGCTGCATGATTCCTCATATAATGTTCTTATTTTGAGGAAGTCGGTTGGAGAAGTTCCCTAAAGGTTATTTTGCTGTTATGATAGTCATTATTTTTCAACAATTTATTTTATTTATTTTATTTTATTTTATTTTGAGACAGTCTCACTCTGTCGCCCAGGCTGCAGTACAGTGGAGCAATCTCAGCTCACTGCTACCTCTGTCTCCCAGGTTCAAGTGATTCTCCTGCCTCAGCCTCCTGAGTAGCTGGGACCACAGGCATGGGCCACCACACCTGGCTAATTTTTGTATTTTTAGTAGAGACAGAGTTTCACCATGATGGCCAGGCTGGTCTTGAACTCCTGGCCTCAAGTGATCCGTTCGCCTCGGACTCCCAAAGTGCTGGGATTATAGGCATGAGCCACCGTGCCTGGTCATTTCTCAACAATTTGCACATCTGGCTAAATTGTTCCTGTTACCACAAATGTCCCCAACCATACTCTCCTTGTTCCTTAGCTACCAGAACTGATGGAGAAAGATCCAGACTCATAACGATGTCACACGAGGTGCGCACATACTACACAAGTTCAAAATGGACACACTTTATCCATCTGGCACAGACTCCTTGGGAATATCCTGTAACTCCATACAATCTACGTATCTCAGGATATCCCCAGTCCTAAAATCCTCAGACAGCTAGAGATACTGGCTGATACTGAGACTGCAACACAATAAATCAACATCAATTCCTTTCTTGTCTAATGAGAAAACTCAAGTTTGCAATATGTGATTCCACTTAACCATTCATTTCCACTTCATCAAATCACAGCTCCAAGAAGGGAGGTATGAAAATTTCCATCAGGGATTGGTTTTCCTACTCCATCAGTACTCTCAGTGAAAGAATATGAATCTAAAAAATGCTAATCCTAGTATAGTGGCTCACTCTTGTAATCCCAACACTTTGGGAGGCCAAGGTGGGAGGATTGCTTGAGCCCAGGAGTTCAAAACCAACACAGTGAGATCCTGTTTCTATAGAAAAATCCAAAAATTAGCCGAGCAAGGTGGCACGTACCTGCAGTCCCAGCCACTTGGGAGGCTGAGGCAGGAGGAGCTCTTTGAGCCTTGGAGGTTGAGGCAGCAGACCCATGATTGTGCCGCTGCACTCCATCCCGGGTGACCGAGCAAGACATTGTCTCAAAAAACCAGAAATGCTAAGAGGTTTGCTGATAAATACCTAAACAGTTCTTGGAGAACAGAGGGGCCCTTAAGAGACAGCAGCCTTGGCCAGGCATGGTGGCTCATACCTGTAATCTCAGCACTTTGGGAGGCCGAGGTGGGTGGATCACTTGAGGTCAGGAGTTTGAGATCAGCCTGGTCAACATGGTGAAACCCTGTCTCTACTAAAAATACAAAAATTAACCAGGCATGGTAGCGTGTGCCTGTAATCCCAGCTACTGGGGGTGCTGAGGCAGGAGGATCGCTTGAACCTGGGAGGCGGAGGTTGCAGTGAGCCAAGATCGTGCCACTGCACTCTAGCCTGGGCAACAGAGCAAGACTCCGTCTCAATCAATCAATCAATAAAAGAGATAGCACCCTTTGGTAGCATTACTGACTATAATGGGAAGAACTAGAGAACAAGTCCCTGGGGAAGGGAAGAAGTTTTAGGAAAAAGAAATCTGCTCAATCTGTTCAAATTTTCTAAAGCAAAAAGAAGGCATTCAGAAGCAGAGAGCAGAACAGTTGTTACCAGAGACGGGGTGGGGGTACAAATGCGGAGATGTCAGTCAGTGAGTACAAAGTTACAATCAGGAGAAATGAATTCTGGTGTTCTATTGCACAGTAGGGTGACTATGGTTAATGATAAAATATTGTATATTACAAAATAACTAGAAGAGGCTTTTGAATATTCTTACCACAAAGAAATGACAAATGCATGAGGTGATGGATACACTAACCACCCTGACTGGCTCTTTATACAACATAGATACGTACTGAAACATCAAATTGTACCCCATAAATATGATCAGGAAGTGCTAGGATTACAATGTGTCTGATACGGTTTGGATCTGTGTCCCCACTCAAATCTCATGGGGATTTCTAATCCCTAATGTTGGACGTAGGGCCTGGTGGGAGGTAATTGGAACATGGTGGTGAATACTTGATGAATGGCTTAGCACTGTCCCTTTGTTGCTGTTCTCGTGATAGTAAGTTCTTACGAGATCTGGCTGTTTAAAAGTGTCTAGCGCCTTCCCTGCTTCCTTCTGCTCTGGCCAGGTGAAGTGCTGGCCTCTCCTTTGCCTTCCACCATGATGGTAAGTTTCCTGAGCGCTCCCAGAAGCTGAGCAGATGCCAGCATCATGCTTCCTGAACAGCCTGCGGAGCTGGAGCTGTAAGCCAATTAAACCTCTTTTCTTTATAAAATCCCCAGTCTCAGGTATTTCTTTATAGCAATGCGAGAAGGGACTAATACAGTGTTAATTAAAATAAAAAATAGAAAAGAATGCATTCAGGCCAAGTGTGATGGCTCACGCCTGTGATCCTAGCACTTTGGGAGGTGGAGGTGGGAGAATTGCTTGAGTCCAGGAGTTTAAGACCAGCCTGGGCAACATACCAGGACCCCGTCTCTACAAAAAATAAAAAAATTTAAAAATTGAAGACTGCAGTGAAGGAGAGGAGACATACTAACACATTGATAATAGCTTTTACAACTACAAAATTTATACCCTAGGTTTTTACTAGAGAAAGCCTGGGAAAGCAAAACTGGAAGAAAAAGCAAGTAATGGGGATTTCATTGATCTTTTTGGATAAGAGAATTTTGATGACAAAATTCACCAGACTGACCTTAAGGTCCCCAAAGGCCTGAGAATGAATCCCTTCACCCCATCCCTGCTTTTGGTACTCCAACACACACACACACACACACACACACACACACACACACACACACAGAGTCTGCTTTTTTTTTCTCTCTGAGATTTGAGAAAGAATGAACAAGCCTTTGTCTTTCTTGAATCCCAGGGAATCCAACTATAGAAAAACAGATTCAGAAGAAACAGCTTTCCCACTGTCAGGAGCTGATCAGAGCCCAGGGCCTGGGCTCCCTTTCGTACAACCTGGATGTCTGTGAGACCCTCAGCCATGGAAGGCACCCCAAAGACTTGAGGGAGCCCTCAAGGCCCAGGAGCACAGGACACCTAGGCAGGCCCAGCTCTGGACAAAGATTTCTACAACAGAGGGTTCCAGCCTCCCCCAAGCCTAATAGAGATAGGAGGAATAAATTCTAGTGTGCTACGCACCAGCCACTTCCTGGGCTTTGCTCCTATATCCCAGAACTGAGGCCTTTGGAACTAAAACTAAAACCTCTTTGGAACTAAAACTAAAGTCTTCTGCAAAGACTCTGCAGAATCAGCAGCACTGAGCCAGACAACCCACAGGATCAGGAGGCCCTTAGCAGCCTCAGCAGAACTCAATTACCCAGATACACAATGCAATGGCTTCCCATGAGACCATAGTTCCAGGAATCCTCATCGTCAGTACATCCCGGTTCCAACCTGAGATTACCCATGGCTTTCCTGCCTGACATTCTCTCTTGCTACTACCCCTAACCTTACTGCTGATAGTGTAGTGCACACTGCATCTCAAGGACAATCAATGTACTTTAAGCACTTTAAGTTCCTGGTGCCTACATATATTAATCCTCACGATAAGGTCATGAATCCTAACTGAAAGGAAACTTTAGCTTGGAGAAGTGAAGTCATTTACTCAAATCTGCAGCTACAGTGGCATTGCTGGGTTTTGAATCTACTGAGAAATAGCCAAGTCTGCACCTGGCTGCCTTCTAACTTCTGGCTCTTGTAGATGCAACCTGAGAATTTCCTGATCCTTTGAAGGAACCCTCAGCTGGCCCCTGCACTTAGGGGAGCAGAAAATGCTAGGTCTGCTGTGTTTGTCACTGCAGATCACAGCAGTCTATGAAGGGAGATCAAAGGGGTAGAAGGGAATGGGAAGAGAGGAGCAGCTGTGTCAACAAAAATCCTCTTATCCAAAAATACCAATCAAATCCCCATGACTCTGGCTCTATGTGGGCACTGGGGTCGCAGATAACTCTTACTTAGCATACATTTGCCCTTAAAAAGCTCAGTCACGGAGGGGGAAAAAAAAGAAGAGAAAATCAATCATAGGACACCAGGCTCTGTGGGGGACTAGTTACTACGTCCAAATCACCAGCTGAAAAATAAGAGATTGAATATCAAAAATACTTTAGAATGCAAGGATGAGTTGACAGAGAAGTAATCTTCAGCAGATAAAACTATGTCAAAATGCGAACAGAGAGGCATATGCTGAGCCACTGAGGCTTATTTTCCCCAGGGAATGTCTATAGAGCCCAGATGACCATAAGCTTTGACATTTATGATCTTAAGGAGCAAGGGGAGAGAAGATCAAGCCTACACTGGCCAAGTGGGGGGTCTAATTAATTCCACACTACAAAGACCTGGGACCTCTAGAACCGTGCCCTTAGAGTAAGGGAAAACTAGATGTAGCATTCCCATTCTTAGAGTCTGCTAGGAAAACTGCCTGACTTGAACCTTGG